CAGCAGTGTGAAGAGACAACACACAATGTGGGAAAAAATCTTCACCTGCTCTTCCTCAGACAAAGGTCTACTATCCCGAATCTATAAAGAACTTAAAAAGATCAGACCTCCCAAATTTAAAGACCCAATCCACAAATGGGAATCTGAAATGAACAGACATTTCTCACACAAGGAAGTAGAAATAGCAAATAAACACGTGAAAAAATGTTCAACATCACTGGTCATTCAAGAGAAGCAAATGAAAACAATGCTGAGATTCCACCTCACTCTGGAAAGAATGGCTGCTATCTTGAAATAAACCAATAACAAATGCTGATGGGGCTGTGTGGAAAGAGGAACCCTGCTCCACTGGAGTGTCTACTGGTGCAACCACTACAGACATCAGTATGAAGATACCTCAAAGAACTAGGACTGGAAGTCCCATTTGACCCAGCTGTTCCCCTGCTGCATATCTTCCCCAAAGAATTAAAAGAATCGTATCACTACGATATATGTGCACCCATGTTCATAGCAGCACCATTTGTAATAGCTAAAATTTGGAAGCAGGCCAATTGCCTATCAACTGGAGACTGGATCAAGAAAACATGTTGTTTTTTATAAAATGCAGTACTACTCAGCCATAAAAATGAGAAATTAGAGATATTTATAGCTAAATGGGTGCACTCTGAGGCAATACTCTTAAAAGGGGCAAAGGGGAAGGGGAAGGGGAAGGGGGAGGGGATAGAAAATGGAATGGAAGTAATATGAGAAAATGAAAAAATGGAAACAAAGTCTTTGTAAATAGGGAGGGATGGTGGGTTTGAAGGTAGGGCAGGGGAAGGGGGAAAAAAAAGAGTCAAGAGAGATTATGTAAAGGTGCAAATTTGCAATGATGAATGTCATCATATTGTATACCTAAAATGTATCAATAAAATAAAATTTTTAAAAAAATGGACAAGGATGTTAAAACTTCCTCTGACAGAAGGGACTTCATCAATTTTGTTATTGTATATTGTGGTGTTCTCTTAATAGATGCACATATTTACGCTTGATTTGCTGTGCTAATGGACATCATAATGAAATGTACCTTTTGTCTTTGAGTGTACTTTTTCTCTTGAAGTCTATCTCATCAATATTAATACACCCTCTAATTTACTTTTGGCTATAGCTTACAGATATAACTTTTTCCATTCATCTGTCATTTTATCCATCTTTATTTTATTAATTGTATTTCTCTTGAAGCACAGCATTGGATCTTGCTTCTTAAATTCATTCTGATAATCTATGCCTTTTAGTAGGGGTGTTTAAGCCATTAAAATTTAATGTTTTACATCACTGACTCTATGGCTAACATTTTAGTATTTCTTTTCTGTTTGTACATTCAGGCTTAAAATTTCGATTTGGTTTTTTTTAGATTTTCACTTTTCTCTGGCTGATATCTCCTATCTCTTCATTTAATGCAAGTGTATTTCTTTTATGTCCTGGAGACTGCTTTATAGTCTTTGATAGCCCCCACATTTAGTTTGTCTTGGAGTTGGTGTTATAATTTGGGTCCTAATCATCCTCTAAAGGCTCATATGCCTAACGTCACTTGTGGTACTACCAGGAGGAGGTAGAATCTCTAGGAGGCTTTGTCTATGCAGTATAAGTCACTGAGGGCATGGCTTTGAGGGGGATGTTGGGACTCTGGCCTCTTCTCCTTCTCTCTTTCTTCCTGGCTACTATGAGGTAAACCGTCTTCCTCTACTATGTGCTCCTGCCACCAGGCTGTACGGCACTCCCACAGGCCCAAAATAACTGGGACATAACCACGGAACAACTGAAATCATGGGCCCACATAAACCTTTCTTCCTTTTAAGCTGATTTTCTCAAGTATTTTGTCACAATGACAGAAAGTTAACATAGTTGGCAACTGTGCTTTTTCTTTGACAGTGGGTACCATTTTCTTGGCTCTCTGTACCATGAGTAATTTTGGATTGCATTCTGGGCTTTGTTAATGCTATCTCATATTATGAAAATTCTGGGTCCTTTTTTCCAAGAGATGTTGATGATTTGGATTTAGCAGGTAACTAATGTGGTTAGCTAAACTGCAGACTGTGGTACCTGCAGTAGACAGCTTCTTAGCCTAACCTCCTGTCTTCAGTTTGTCCCACACTTACGTGGTTCAGGACTCTAATTCTGGAAAATTCTCAAATATTTCTTCTGTTCTTTTTTCTTTCTTCTGTATTCGCATAATACATGTTACAATGTTGAGCAACTGACATGCAGTTGTTCTATACAGTATTTTGTTTCTCTCCCCTACTCTCCATTCCCCTTCTCTTTCCAGGGAACTGAGGCAAGGAAATCAGCTTTTTTTGGTATCAGGGATAGAATTCAGGACCCTATGTTTACAAGGCAGGCAGCGGCACCACTGAGCTAAATCCCTGGCCCAGTAAATAAGCTTTTAGTATGAAGTTTTTACATTTACTGGCTAGCAGGTAGACTCTGTTTGGAAACTCTGACAATATAATTATGAAGATCTCAGTGAGTTTCCTACAGAAATAATGTGTGCCAGATATCTGGCATGAATAATATTAATTCCTTTCCCCCAACTCCTTTGTATTTTTGACTAGGATCTGGCATTAGCCAGCAAACCAATGCCTGACTATTACACTGAGATCAACTGAACATTCTGGTTCAGAAAGCGGAGTATGTCTTATTTGACTCACTCACGTTTAATCACCACATACCTATTTTTGCCACTAAATAATGGAAAATCAAATGATAAAATCAAATTCAGTGTTGCTTTAGTGAGTTTCCAGTTCCACTGCTAAGGAACCAGTACACTGGCTACAGAAAAGGTGTTCATACTACTCTTGAGCAAATCCTGAAGATTTCTTCTCATCAGCAGAAGATAAACCCTGTTTGTCTTACACACTCATGTCAATGACAAATGACCACTGAGAGAGGAATGGAGCACATGACAGAGTATGGGGATGCACACCTGCAGACCCAGCTACTTTGGACACTGAGGCAGAAGGACTGGTTGAGCCCAGGAATTCAAGGCCAGTTTGTGCTATATAGTGCGGCCCCATATTACTAATGAACAAACAAAAAAGAATGTAAGTTACAATGAGCCAAATGATTCCTAGTGTCTGTCTGGAGATGATATGTGAATTCAAGTATCAGATCAGAAAGCTGTACCTCAAGAAAGAATGCATCAAATGATTAAATTTTACACAGGCTCAAAGTCTTTTGTTTGACACCTTCACATCTACAGGTATTTCAAAAACTAAGAATGTGCTATCTAGAAAGCGAGAAATACCCCTAACAAGACATGAGCAGCACCTTGTTAATAAGTATATTAATATTTTAGCAATAAACAATATAGATTTCATTCTACTAGAATAAGTAAATCTATTTCAGTTCTGGTTAGGTTTTTAGATTTTTAAGTCATTCAAATAAGGATTTGTAGGTCTATATAAAACCAGTATCAAATATATAAACAAAATCTCCTACCCATGATCCTAGATAAACTGGCAGAAGAGGTTCCTTCCTCTGCTGAAGAAAGAAAACAGCCATCAGGGCGAACACATAAGGCGGTAGGCCTCCTTCTTCAGGGCAGTCTATACTGCAAAGCTGCAGAAGACAGGAGACATTCTTCTTTCACCAGTTTGTGATTTAAATAATTTGGCTTACACCTATAACCTCATTCTCATACATTATATAATCTATAGTGATTCCTCAGAATAAAGCACCATAGTAGGGGCTGGCATACAGTTCATGTGCACGCCAGCACTGCAAAAATGAAACAGAACAAACTACAAACAACAGTAAGCAGCACAGTGATGGAATATGCAACTTCCTTGTACTTTTGCAGCAAACACATTTTGTGTTTTCGAGTAACAATTTCAATTTCAAATATTTAATCCTGTTAATTTACTTGTGAAAAGCTCTGACGTATTATTTCCTATTTCATTTTGTGATATCCACAGTAAATCCATTCCCTTGCTTAAAACATGTTAGTGAAATAATGACGATTCAGTTCCAAGTAGAAGCCAACTGACTTTGCTCAGTTTAATGGTCCGCTCATCTTAACTCACAACCCCGTGAATGTGTGCTTTGGTCACAAAGGCGAGTGGGGAGAAAATATGGGCAAACTCATCAGTGCTAATGGAAACAACTACAAAAGCCTGGCTTGCTTAGTGAAGGAGAGGGTTTTTAAAGAACAGCATATTGTATTACCAGTTCCCCCAGTTAAGAGTGGGCCACCCTCTGCTTATCCTGGATCCAAGACATGGAACTATCTCTCTTTGCTGCTATGCCTTCATCAGGAAAGCTTTTGTTTTTTAGTTTTCTATGAACCTTACAGAATCTCAATTATATAATCATGTGACGTTACCTTTCAGGGGAACATTAAATGTTCTACTGCTATTAGAGAATTTGGCATAATTTTTAAAAAACATTATAGAAATATTAAGCAAACCAGATAGAGTATCATTTTTATTTTCGGGTATGTTATGGGAAATGGTATGACAGTGTTTATCTCAAACTTTACTGTATCTAGGAATCCTCTCAGGAAAGCAGTTAAGATGGGCCACATCCCCTGGAACCTGACCTCAATCTGACTTTTAATAAGCACTATGATCATTTTAATCTTTCTTTTTTTTTTTCTTTTTTCTTTTTTTGGTATTGGGGATCGAACTTGGCTCCTTGCGCTTGCGCAGCAGGCAACGAAACCACTGAGCTAAATCCCCGGCCCTCATTTTAATCTTTTAAGCAATGTTGTTACAATGAAATAGAAACCCTAACTTTTCCTTCTGTATATATTAAAGTTTTAATTCTAATATTCAAATGTCTACTTTTTGGATGTCTATAAATATTCATCTAAACATTTAAGATTAACCTACCAAATTAAAGCATCATGCTTTTGCCTACACAAAATGTTTTCATACATTTAAAGAACTACAACCAACCTTTGCCCAGTACCTAAATGCGATCACCAGAGGAACCAGCTTTGGTTCTAGTTTTCCAAGGATAGATAAGTGCTTTGTTGTCAGGCAAGCACTTTCATTTCCTGCGCTCACTTTACAAAGAAGACCACTGGGGGGGGGGGTGAGGATGAGAGAAGAAAGAAAAAAGTGTTATTGAAGTATCAGGATCTTTTACATCAATAGCTAAATCTCACTGACAATAAATACCTTAAAAATTTAAAAAAATGCAATAAATTGGAATTTTGAAAAAGATGGCAACTATTTTCTGAGTAAACTATTTTTTAGAACTAGAACTTGGTGTTTTCACATGTTAAAAATATTTTGGGGGGGGGTCAGGCAAAAAAGAAAAATATGTAAAGGTGTCAGAGCAAGTAACCATTTGATGAGGTTTTTTTTACCTAGTTGAGAAGGGTCAACATACTTCCTTCTTCTTATTTTTCTGTGTGTATATGGTGCCTGGGATTAAACCCAGGGTTTCACACATTCTAAGGCAAGTGTTCTTACCACTAAGCTATATCCCCAGCCACTCTTCCTTTTTAAAATTTTATTTTGAGATGAGCTCTTGCTAAGTTGCCCATGTGGTCTTAAACTTGAACTTCTCTGAAGTAGCTGGTATTACAGGAATGTGCCAGTACACCTGGTTAACCATTTTAATTTTCTGAACAGAAAATATTTCCTCCTCTTGATCAAATGCCAAAAGTATAGGGAGGACAGTAGTAGAAAGCATGTGAGATAACCATGTAAGGAGCTTATTATCCTAGCAGTTGGACATTAAGATTTAGTAAAGTACTTGTGTTTTTGGCAAATTGATAGCTCATAAACATCTTAAAGAAACAGACCTTTGCTTCTCTCTGCACACCACCACTGGTACCCTAGCATGGAAATCAGCATCAACATCAGTGAAGGCGTCTGAGAAAAGAAGAAAGAAATTAAGTAGCTTATTATTAGCTTTGTTTAAAAGTAGAACTAGATAAAGTGTGAGTACAGGTATGGCTTATCTGTTCAATTGTTTCAAAGACTACTACTAAATAAAATGCTGAAATGACCTGAAAAGAGAAAAACTGTAATATTTATGATGCAAGTAAACCCATTAATTTAAAATCCTTATTTTGCAAAGCTGATGTTTGATTAGAAATCAGCACATCACTGAATCAAACATTTAAATGTCCTGTGAAAAACATGAGACACACAGGCAGTGAATTTTAAAATGAAGTTGATCCAAAACCTACGAAACTGTTGTGTTAAAACAAATATCGACTGAAACAGGAAGAGATGTTTAAATGTTTTATTCAACCCAAACAAGAAGGACAGAAATGACTAATTCAAGGTATGGGGTAATTTGATGAAGCCTGCATAAAGCAGACAGACTTAGCCCCAGTGTGGAAATTATATGGCTCAAGACAATCCATAAACCTGTCTGGGAACACTAGGGTGAGCTCATTAATCAGGATCAGTTTACCTGTTCACTGTTCCTAAAATACTTATCTATACGACAGAAGAAGGCAGATTATCCTTCAATTTTAGCCATAAGAGTAAATTCTACATATTTTGCATTTCTTAGTCACAGTCCAGGACTTACTTAACCTTTATAAAAAGTAATATTATCAGGCTAAAAGCTTTACTTTGAGATGGTTGTTTTGTATAGAAGGTATTACTAGGTAATTATTACTAGGTAATAATTCATCAGCATTTGCTTTCATTTTTGCTTTTGTATATTACCCAATATAAATAATTTTAATAACAAAATTTCCTATTTTCAGAATCTGTCGATAAGATATATCCAAATTTTTAGAAAAAAAAAATAACACCAAAGTATAGAAAGAATTTGGCCTTACCACTGTTTTTTAAACATTCTTGAACAAGTAAGAGGACATCTGGTTGAGACATCTAGGAAATAAACAAACAAATGAATATATGAAATAATCCCTAAGTATTTTGCTTCACTGGCATAATATACAGTCTGATGTTCTCTAAATACATGCTAGTACACAGTAAGTTATCATTATGCTTACATACATGTGAGTCAAAGACAGAGATGAGTGCCACATGAGAAGGACTATCACTGATTAACTCCTGATGGACTAGTTTTTTTGTTTTGTTTTGTATTTTGAGACAGGGTCTCGCTGTGCAGCTCAGGCTGGCTTTGAACTATGTAGCCCAGGCTGGCCTTAAACTGTGGCAATCCTCCTGCCTCAGCCTCCCAAGTGCAGGGATTACAGACATGCACCACCACACCCGGGTGAACTAGTTCTTAAGGTAATCAGCCTATTACAGTTTATATCTAGATGTCCCTCCAAGGTGCGTATGCTGTGAGGCGAAGCTTTGGGGGGGAGGTGAGAGGATCATGGCGGGCATGGTACTCAACAGTGGGTCAGCCCGCTGATCAGGCTATAGCTAAATGTGATGCTGGGAGGTGTAATCTGGTCAGCCGGAGGTTGGATGGTCACTGGGGGTGAAGGGTTTATCTCTGTCCTGTGTTTTCCTTACATTCTCCCTGCCTCCCCACCACCGTGCTCTGAGCTGCTCTCCTCGGCCAGGATCCTGTGCCAAGTCACTCTGCCTTGGAGCCAGCAGACTACAGACTGAAACCTCTACATACTGCGAGCCAAATAAACCTCTCCTTCCTCAGGTGGTAAGTGGTGGGTATTTTGTCAAAACCCTAAGAAAACTAAGAGCAGCCTTTCAGCAAATCTGGTCTTTTTTTCCCAGAACTGGGGATGGAACCCAGGACATTCATGCTGAGCTACACAATCAGCCCATTTTTAATTTTTTAGTTTGAGACAGGGTCTCACTAAGTTGTCCAGGCTGGGCTTAAACTCGTGATCCTCCCGCCTCAAGCTCCCAGAGTGTGGAGTTGACAGGCATTCACTACCAAGCAAATCTTGAGGTGGTAGCTGAAAGTTTTCACACTGGTCACAATACTGTCTCTCATCTGCAAGATACTGCAACAGATAGTTTACTAGTTCCAACTATAGCACTACCTTCCTTCAATCCTTGTTGTACACTTCAATAAAAGCATTTGAAATCATGAACTGGGTCCTTAAAACACTCGTACTCTGACTACCTACCCTTAGATCAAAGTCAAATTCTTACCATCAGATCAAGCTCAGTTCAGGCTGCCTCTCTAAAGAGCCCTTCAGGAGTGCTTCATTCCTGTACAGCACTTGCTTCTACCCCAAACCTGTTTCTCCACACAGCTCTCATTATAATTAATAAATAGGTAACTATTTATGTTCTTCACTAGACAGGAGTTCCACAAAAGGGGAACTATACTGTTTTGTTTTGTCCTTTAAAATAAAGTACAGTATCTCCAATACAGTAAGAGATTCAGAGCATATTACCTAATGAATGAATGATACCAGATAAAATAAATGCTATGGTTGGCAAATCAACGATCACAATCTAAGGAAGATTAAAAGAATATAAAATCTATTGGTTTGCTGACCAGGTAGCTGTAACAGTCAAGTATAGCAAAAAATAAGAGGCTAAGATACTGAACATCTGTAAATGGAAGCATGAAAAATCTGTATCTTTAACAAGCACCCCAAGGCCCTGGGCTTAGATCTGCTGAAAACCAGCCTGTGGGAACCACCAGCAGTCAGCGGATAATCTAAGCTCCTTCCAGGGTCACAGTTCTGACTCATTAGTTTCTTTCTGAACCACATTTGGATCAGTAATCCAGGCTAGGTGTGTTTGTTTGAAAGCTTAATTGTTTGAACATAACTGGCATATAAAAAGAAGAAACTCAGAAACTAATTAAGTGTTAAGATCATAAATTTTACAAACCTACAAAGTTTCAAATATGAATTTTTTTCCTGTCACTGGAAAGTTAACTTTACTAAGAAAACTTATTTTCAAGGTAACAGAAACCTAAATACCCCATAAGATTCACATTGTGTGCCAGGTGTGGTGGCCCACATCTGCATCTCAGCACTTAGGGGGCTGAGGCAGAAGAACCACTGTGAGTCTGAGGCCATCCTGGGCTATACAGTGAGTGTAAGGCCAGCCTGAACTACATAGCAAGACCCTGTCTCAAAAAACCAAAAAAGATTCATATGGTTAGAAAACTACTGTTACAAGTAAGTATGAAAGATCTGTAGAATAAAATAAAATTTAAGTATAAAAATGTATAAAGTATAAAAAATATATTCTCTGAAGCTGTGAAACTGAAGGCAGAAGACATAAAAATGGAAATTTTTGAGAAAAAAAGCTATCATCATTGCATTAAAAATATCTTTAAATATCTAAAATATATTCATACACAGTTCACATGGAAAGAAAAAATTTTCAAACCACTCTGAATATTCCAACATTTCATTTCATACTTACAATGGCTGGAAATTGAATGTCAATATTTACATCCGAATTTTTGAAACCCAATCGGCTACAGGAAGACCCATATAATCTTAGAGAACAATCTAAAAATAAATACATAAAAGTCATAAATAAAAATAAAATTTCTCAAAAGTTGTAATAAGACAGTGCTATTTCAGAAATGGAACCGTCAAATTAAAACTACACACAAAAGCAAAACGAGTCAAGTCTGGCAAAAACAAATGACAGGAAGGGTTGGTTCTTTGCTCATTCTTTAATTGTCTTTAACAGGGTAGGCTGTGGTTTAGCTTAACAAGCTCAAGACGGGGCCATAACCTGCACATCTCGCTGCTGAACAGCTCTGATCTGAATCTGTTAGATTACTGCCGGCTTGCCCACTGGCGTTCAGGTGTGACTGTCCTGTCAGGCGGTCCAAGCCACTCTTTTCACGTTAGTTATAAGACATGTTCACATTCCCTATGTTATCATGCTCACTTTTTGTGTAGAAAACTATTTGCAATGATTTTTAAAACATGAAAATTGAAAAGGGATGCCTGTTTTGCATTTATAAACTTAACAGTGAGCCAAGGGTGGTGGCACATGCCTGTAATCTCAGCTCTTGGGAGACTGAGGAAGCGAAGCACTGTGATTTCAAGGTCAGTCTGGTCAACAAAGTGAGACTGTCTCAAAAACCAAAACCAAAAACCTTTACAGTATACTCAAGAGCTAATACAAACATTTCACTTTCCAGGAAGCACACATAAGTAAAATTTACTGTGAAGAGCTTGTTTCATTAATGCAATGATAAAATTCATCTTTTAATATAGTTACTTTTTAACACGATTTAACTTACTATGAAAAGCATTTGACAGAATTCCTTCAGAAAAACTTTTGCAAAAATAATTACAAGATTAATACACCTTAACATGCTACGCAGAAGCATTAGCATAATCCCAGCACTCTGGGAAGCTGAAATATCAGGACGGAAAATTTGAGCCCAGCCTGGGCAACTCAGTGACTTAGTGATACTCTGCCTCAAAAAATAAATACAAAAGGGCAGAAGATTCAGCTCAGTGTAAAGGCTCTGGGTTCAATCCCCAGTACGAAGTAAAGAAAAACATAGGCAGTATGCATTTCCTTTTCAGAAGAAGGCATGTATATACATACGAGCACCACCTGTTATGAACTTATGGCATTATTTTCAGTATTTCGCTAAAATATCCTTTCTCATCAAAGAACTTTTTTTTACAGTTTACTAGTCCTAGTGATTTTTTTTTTTGGGTTTTCAGTTTCTATAACAAAATACTGCACACTTTTACACAGAATTCTATGACATTATATAAACATCACTGACGTTATAATCAACTGTTTAGGAGACACCTATATAATGAAATGAGTATTACTGAATATTTATGCACATAAAATACTGGTATTTAATGTTAAATATTAGTATTTAATACTAAACAGTTATGAATACTATATGCATTATCTCCTAATAGAACAGGCCAAAGAGTTACAAGGTGACATTTCTAAATAATATTCTACCCTGATTGAATCAGAATCACCTGTGAAACCTTCTCAAAGGGGAACTTTCTAAAAAGGACTGTCCAGGGCTCCACAGAGAATTCTGATGTACAGCAAGGATTTATCTCAACAGGAATCGTAATTCGAGGGGATGGGGCTAGCAGCTGCTGGGTCAGGCGTGCACCACATCTGGCCCTACGATTTCATAAGCAGCGTATCAAACTGCTGTGCCCCTCAACTTTCCTTGCACCTCTGACCTAGATGTACAAGTAAACCAGCGGCATGTGCCTACAATCGCAGCTAATGAGAAAGCTGAGGCAGGAGGATCACTTGAGCACAGGAGTTGAGGGACTCCTGGGACATGGCAAGACCCCATCTCAAAAACAAACAGCAAAAAACCCTAAACTAAACTCAATTAAAAACAGCAAAAGACAGACATCTTAAAACAAATCCAACAATATACAAAGCCAATTACAAATTACTTACAAACTAGTTTCCTCAAAGCTCTTTTTAGATTCTGCAATTCTTTTAAATATACTTAAATAAATCCCTTTCAACACATATAATCTGAAAATGATTCCGGGATATTTCTCTTCATTTGAATTCAAAAATATGGCATCAATTTAGATAGGAAAGTAAAGCAATATATACGCAAGAGTCCTACGGTATCTGAATAATAGGAGTCAACTATATTAAAATGTATCACACAGTAAAGTTTACTGTATTATAAAAACAGGCTTATGATGACAATGCACGTGAAAGTCTGCTCCTTGAGAAAAGTAGAATAAAACCCCACCAATCCCCTGAGGAAAACAAACAAACAAAAAACACACTAAAAATAAAGGACACGGCAGCAAGTGAATTTTTATTAAGTGAAAATTACTTGAAATATGTATGATGGATGCACTAAAGACAAACCTAGAATATACCTCGTAGCTTGTGCTGGAACACGTCTTCCATGATGCGTTTAATTTCTAGCCTCTGTTCCAAGTTCTCATTGTGTAAGCCGAACTCCTGCACCACTTTGTCAATAGCAATGCCAACTGCATTTATCTGAGAGGGTGTTGGTAGGGGTAATGTAGTGAGCAACTCTTCCTCCTGCTTTTCCTTTGAAGATCGTTGAGATTAAAAATGACTCACATAGTTTTTACTTTCTACCATTCATTAAGACAATATCCTACAGAATTTTTTAGAATCTTTTTCTTAGCCCCACTTCTCCTTTTAGCTGTGTTAGTTTTCACCCCATCAAACACATACACATTTTATGCACACAGGGTCAGTGATAATGGAGAGTATGCAGGAGTAAGGAGAAAGTCCACAGCAGAACATTAAAACCAGCAACGACAAACTGATTATTTGCTTTATTATTGGCATGAGAACATATACCTAGGTCCTATCATCCTGCCAAAAAAAATACATTTGATAAGTTGAAGTATTTTGGCTAAAATAAATTCAACAAACAAAAATATAAACATATTAATTCCACAGATTTAAGGAAAAAAAGTCACAAAATGACAATAATAGCTAAGATACTTGTTCGGTCATGTGAAGCTCACCTTCATGTTTTTCTTGTGCCTCTTCTCTTTGATATGCTTATGAGCAAATGCAACAGATTCAATTAAAACATCACAGAGTTTGCAGGTGTACTTTGCTGTAGGGCAGTTTCGTGGTCTCTGAAATTTGAAAAGACTAATAGATGTATTTTGAAACATACACATAAGCAAAACTAGCCAGAAAGATGATTTCCCCTTCACTTCTAAAATTACTGCATTATTGCCTTGCTTTATCACTATCCTAACAATCATTTAATAATGACATTACTGTAAATCTTACTATCACTTTTTAAGATGTAATACCTAAACACTGGCTACCAAAGTAGGACACATAATTCATCAAAGCATGTACTGTGGTTGCAACTCCTAATACAGTTTAACACAAGGAATTTTTCCCCTCAGTACTAGGGATTGAACCTAGGCCCTTTGCACTGACCTATGCCCCGTCTCTCTTTATTTTTTATTTTGTGACAGGATCTCACTAAGTGGCTAAGTTGCCCAGGTTGGGCTCAAACTTGTGTTCCTCCTGCCTCAGTCTCTGAGAGTGCTGGGATTACAGGCATGCACCAAAATGCCTGGCTCACAACAAAGATTTTAACTATCAAATATATGCACCAAGTTGTTACCCTTTTTAGCCTGTCAATGAAGTCTCTCTTCAACCGCTCCTCAGCCTGCTGTAAGCCCAGCAGCTCCTTTGTGGAAAGTACAGACTCGTCAATCACAGGACCGTCTAATTCTCCATCTTGTTCATATTTCTCATTTCTAGTCCTCCGTGGCTTCCTGGGTCGGGACCGCTGTTTCTTGTTTTCTTAAGGTAGGAGGGAAATATTATTGGTGATATTGAGTAATGCCACTCCAGGGCAAAAAGCAGAACTTACATGTTTATTAAATCCTGTGTTAGAATAAATGATGTGTGAACACAGGAAACTTGGCTCTCTTCATGGACAAAACGCTTGACTATTCACTAACCAGATCACCTGGCTATAACAATCCATAGAATCATTCTAGTTTATAAAGAAGTCTAAAAAAACCAGAATTCCACTTCAATATAATTTGATTTTACCTCTTCCTGCTACATTGCTGAGTATACTGAAGCAACAGTAAAAGTTATCCTCTGAAGGCAAGTATCCTGTAATTCTAATATATCCTTATTATATAATACACATATATCTAATACATTCTAATACACCTGTGAGTATCCATTGCTCTACTGAAATCCACTCATATTTGCTTTTATTTATTGGGCAATATGGACAATACTGCATACCCGTGGAACTCAGAATTCCTCACCGGCAGTGAAAAAAAATCATTTAGTTACAAATTAAACCTTCAATAATATATAATTGGGGTTCTGTCATTAATAGCAAGACATCCAAGCCAAAATTTTATTGACTGACAATAACTAGTATCCTCTTTCTTCCTTTCTTTTTGAGACAAGGTCTTGCTATGTAGTTCAGGCTGGCCTTGAACTCACTATGTAGCCCAGGCTGGCCTCAAACTCACAGCAATCCTCCTGCCTCAGCCAAGTTCTGGGATTACAGGTGTGCACCACCATACCCAGGCTACCCATTTTATTTCTATGTCCATGTTAGCTTTATTGAATTGCCTGGATGCTAAATGTATTTCAAAGGGAAAAAACAATTGATATTTGAAGTAAAAGTTTTCTCTAAGTACAAATTCATTTGTTCATTGCTGTTAGTTCTACAAGCTTTAGAATGAATGAATGAATGAATGAATGAATGAATCTGTTCCTTTTTTTAAGTTTTTAATCTGTGGAACTGAACATGCCTATGGGATTGAATTACAAAAAATTGCTTTAAATAGTTTTGATGATGTCTATCAAGTTCTGAAAATTGAAGCTATTTGGAACACATATTACTAAATAAAATTACCCAAATTAAACTTTTGATAAATGGATGGAATTGTTTTCAATGGCTTACTACAAATCAGTCCACGGAAACATAAACCTATTAAAATGCCCTGGTGTGAGGCAATTCCTGTCAAATTGTAAAGGAAATCTGTTACTAATACAGCAATTACAATGGAATGGCTAATTTAAAAAAAATTCTGCGTCAGAAAAGGAGGTTTAACCTTCAAAGTTAAAAGAAAAGAGGAGAGAGGAGAGAGGAGACAGGAGAGAGACAGAGACACACAGACAAGAAGCTACTTCCAGGCTTGGGATGTTGCTCAGTGGCAGAGCACTTGCCTAGCACACAAAAGGGCCTGGGTTTGATTCCCAGTACTGCAAAAACACAAACAAACTATTGCCTACAGCTGTAAAGGACATACAGCAAGCATTGTGCTCAAACTATTTCAGATAAACATAATGTAACTCTGCAGAAAGCATCTACAATATATGACAATTTAAAGAATTAAGTGTTAAGAAAAACATACTTTAGGAAAAAAAAAATCAATCAAAATGTACTGAGCAAATAAAACTCAAAGATAAGTCATCAGTTGACTAGAAAATCAGGCTAATACTTCCATTTTAACCTTCTCTTTACCCCCAACAAAATTACCACAATCTTTTAAGGCCAATAGGACTCTTAGTCTGAACAAATTTTGAGATGAGCTTTTCTTAGAAGTGTATTCATTTCATTAACTTGCTTATTATTATAAACTATCTCTAAACAAACACATTTGACTTCGGTGTTAATGATAAGTTTCTTCCCTAGGGAAATACTCATTAGATATTTACAGTAAATATGCACAGAAATACCTTTTAGAAAAGTCTGCATTAGTTCACAAGAGTAAATGATAGGTCACCAAGTTCCTTCTTTAAACTCCTCTCTCTCTTGGTCACAACAGCTTCTTGATACACTTGTATTGTTACCCTTTTCCAGAAAGAGTGACTTCTGCATCCAAAGACTGTGATTAATGTTTACTGCTTTTACAGAGAGAAGGGGGTGACTACAGAGATTCTGCCAGATGATGACAGCAACTACCATTACTACTCTTTTACATGGCAGGTGTAAAGCAAGCACTGCATATGCTTTACTTAATCCCTATAGTAATCTGGACATGGATGCTACTGTTAGCCCCACTGTACACATGGTGATGATGCGAGCTGAGAAAATTAGTAACTTGTCCAAGGACACAGGACTAAGTCAAAGAAGAGGGACTTGAAATACAGATTAAAATATGTACAGACTCTAAAATTCAGCTTGTCTCACAGTATGAAAACTGAAATTACAAAATGCTTTTGGAGTATACCCATTCATATTTAGAGTGGATCAGAACACATAACACAATATAACCTCCCGAACTGAGTCTCACAGGCCTAGAGGTATAAAACGTGAAACAAAATCTCATTGGAGGGATTCCTGGATGGCAACACTATGCACTGCAGAAAATTTTTCATAATTCCTTAGAGGAAGACTATCTGGTTCATCTCAAGTTTATTGTAACATGAGCTCTCTATATTCAGCATTCTGAGTTTCCCATATTTTATGTGGCCCATTATTCCATTCACAAAGGACATGTATGTTTGAGTGGATGTTTTCCAGGTAAGATCATTAAGGGCACAGTCCTGAATATATTCAATGGGCAATCTAGAACATTTGAGGGATATGGCAGCATGGAAGAAAAAAAAAAAGCAACTCTAAAATTGGGGGTGATGGCCTACATTGGTAATTGCAGCACTCTGGGAAGCTGAGGCAGGAAGACTGCAAGTTCTAACCCATCCTGGGCAACTCAGTAACTTAGCAAGATCCTGTCTCTAAATAAAAAATACAAAAAGGGATGGGGATATAGCTCAATGTGAAGGCCCTGGGTTCAATTCCCAGTTATCCACTCCCCAAAGCAATTCATTAATTCGCGTTACATCTTCTCACGTCAATAAGACTCTTTCTTATTAAGATACAATTTTGCTTTAAGGATATTTCAATCCCTCTAGTGAAATCCTTTTTAGGATCCTTTGAACGCAGTGCAAGTTTTATACACTAAATTGAATTTCTCTCTAAAGTAACACCACACAAAACCTTAATGCCTCCTTTATGAAAATTTTCAAGGCACAGAAGCTGAATACTTCATACCTGTATTTCATAGAGAAAACAAGAGAGCTTTTGAACAGCCTTTGACAAAGACAGTGAAAATGCATTTCCTGTTCCAACACACTTAAGCAACTTCCTTAGTTATTTCTAAGACCAAATAAGAGTACATGTAAGAGTACGTTATTATTATTGTCTGAAAATGGTCCCTTTTAACCTGTCTAGCTGTGAAATTTTCATCTATAAACTTTTATTTTAAAAATGCTTTTCAAAATCAACTTATTTTCTAAAAAAACATAGATAATTAAATGTCTACTTCCCACTTGGACACTGTAATATATAAATACTTAAATACACACAAAGTTTAAAAAAGAAAAAGACAAACCAAAAGCCCAGAAATTATCAATAAATGTTGGAGTTTCCCCCAGTCAGGATTCCAGGTCCAGTGAGGCTATGTTTATGGCCAGGGTGACAACAGTTCTGGATTTCAGTTCCACTTCCTCATCTAACACACTGCACAAGGAAGTCTAGATAAATTTTGGGGGGGTACTGGGGATCGAACTCAGGACCTTGCGCTTGCAAGGCAGGCACTGGCACTACTGAGCCAAGTCCCAGGCCCTAATAAATTTAACCTCTGTGAAATGCAGCTGCTTAATTTGTAAAACTGTCATTCTACCTCTACAACATCACAATAGTACTCCACCAGAGAACTGCTTCAAGTTCTTTCTAGCTTAAAGAATTATAAGACTAATATTTTCTCTCTCCTTTATACTATAACACTTCACTCTGTTTCTGCCACTTGCCTCTCTTTCCCTATTTAATATTAACGGATGCTTCAAAGGTTTGATTTTTTTGTTTTTTTCCTTTTTGTATTGTGGATTGAACCACGGCCTTCAGACTGAGCAACATCTCCAGTCTTTTTTAAATTTTGAGACAGGGTCTAATTAATTCACCCAAGGTGGGTCTGAACTTTCAATTCTCCTGCCTCAGCCTCCCAGAATGCTGAAATTTCAGGAGTCTATCCCCATGCCTGGCAAGATTTTCACTTTTATTCTAAGATTTTCTGATGATAAAAAGGATAATTTCCCTTTTAAATATTCTTGTATGTTTGAGTCCCAAATTCAAGTGCTGTAATACAGCTAATACATGCATGAATAGCCACTGTGAGAAAACATGAAGGAAAAAGGTTTCTGGAGATCTAGACAGCATCTACTTAAAAAACTTTTACCTGGACAGTTTGCAACCCATGCCCATCCCACATGGCCACTAAAAAGGGTTTTTAGCCTGGAAATGTAAAACCCCAATTTTCCAAGTGTAATTTTCATACTAAATACTGTTTTATTTTTCCACCCAATTTATGACTTTATTTCACTTTAATATATCCATTAGATAAAAATAATCTTCCTGTTTATGGAAATCACCGCACATGGGCAAAATCTGTATCTTTTAGAAAAATGTGTAAATAATCACTTTAGGCAAATTATTATAAAGCGTGTTAAGGAGCTCAGAAATGGGTTTTGGTTTCACTGAAAGTAAACAGCAGAACTTGTCTGTATCCTTACTTTCTAAACTCACATTTCCCAACCCTGTTACCACATACACACAGCCCTCCTCCCAGGGGCCATGTGCAAGCCAGCCAAGGGCTCTCTAGCACGGAACTGCATCTTCACTCTTCTTCAGATAAATCCCTTGCTGTACTCCCAGGCTGGCGTCTAATTCTTCGTCCTGGCTGCCCCCTCTTGAAAAACAAAAACTTCAGGTTATCTATCCTCCTCTGGAGAATGATACTTCACCCAAGACACATATTCTTGTTGTGGTAGGCAATACATTTAGTTTGTACTGGGTTTTTAAGTCAATAATTTTTTAAAGTTTTATATTGTCACTTACATTATGGACACATTTAGATGCAAAATTACAAACATACTTTTGAAAATACATATATACTATTCAGAAATTATAGTCCCCAGGAGGATAAGACTACACTCTTAAATAAAAAAATGTTTACCTATGGAACACATGTTCACTAACATAAAATGAACCTTGTGGTAAAATAAACCAATATATGAAATGTGTTGAAGCTGCCCAAATACATGACTACAGACCTTAAAATAATCACAATAAATAACAGACCACTTCTGAAAGCAGGAACAACGAAAAACTGGAAACTCACTGCCGAAACAAACTTATTTGGATGAAAAAGAATGACACTGCCAACTTTGGGGCTGTAACCTGACAAGTTGGAACACATTACCAGGACTCCCAGCTTCCAGTTCTGACATGGTCTCCAGGCTTGTCAGGTCTTTGGGAAACAGGCGTCTCACAGTACGGCAGCCTCTTCCATCCTGCCACCTGTAACCATCCTCACTTTCTTGAAAGGAGTCTTTTCTTGGACGGCTTGTGACAGGAATTCTAGGTCCGGGTTTGAATTCTCTCCAATTGTCTGAGTTACCAGTAACTTCATCAAATAGCCATCTCTTACACTGATCTTTGTGGCTGTCATTCATCCGAACGGGCTGACTGTAGATTGGGTTTTTAAATGCATATGGATTGCTGGAAACAGGATATGGTCCTTTTCTGGGTGTATTACCATAGTTCCCAGGTGTTATCTTTTTTTTTGGTAGGCCCTTTTCCATTTTACTGCTATGGCCCTTAACATAATCATCCATTATTAAATAATCTTGTTGGAGGTAACCCCTTCTGAAATCATCATCATCAACAGTTCCTCGGCCTTTAGTGCCCTTCACAATATAAGGTTTTACTGCATCTCCCATGGTCTTTGATTTCAATTTTCTTACTTTCCACCTGAAAGAAGGCATTGGAGAAACAACAGACTATAACAAGACGTCATATCAAGTACACAAAATACTGTGGGCATTTATCACATTGATGCTCAAAAGCCTGTAGGAAACATCCTATCTTTTCTTTTGATAAAATTTCTATTGCCAGTATTCAGCGGATTATACTAGAATTTAGGGGTCTTAGTCCTATAATATTCATAAAAATTTGTAACTATTTAGTGTGAAGATTAAACTTGTGAATAAGAGAAACTCCTATACTCTGGAAAACCGTAGTAAAATGTTACACTAAGTTGGTCAGCTGGTATCTATGTAACAAAAGTTCCTCTCTTAACAAAAGTTCCTCTCTTCAAAGAAAACCCCAACCCCAGCCAATATTGTTACAAAACTCCCAAAAAGGCCATTTTTAAAAGTTGCAATTATTTTTAAGTGTTATACAAAGCAACTGAAAATTTCCGTGAATAGCCTACCCCTCCTCCCCCCTCCTGGGTCGCTTCATTGCCCCTTTTCGTATCAGACTGGCTTGGTTCCCTGGCTGCGGAGGGCTGGGCTTCAGACCACTGTCCCGATCCGACCCAAGGGCTGGGTTTCTGACCAGGGGCCAACTAACCTTCCCACTTCTCATTCTCCAACCCACAAGTTCGCTTTCCCCAGAGAAGCAACTCTCCCACTCCTCTCAGGTCAGTGTCCGCCCATCCCGACCGGCCTCAGTTTCCACCTGGGCCATCTGAAGCAGGAAGCAGGGGTCCCCTCGCCCCTGGCAGCGAAGCCACCGCGGAGCTTGGCAGCAGGAGCTGACCTGCCGGCTAGGAGGTGCCGAGTGCCCTGGCTGCCAGGGGCCCGAGAACAAGGGCTCGACCCGGCCCCTTCTCTGGCCGGCAGTCTGACACAAAATGAAGACGCGGATTCGAATCCGAGTGCTCGGTCTCCGCCGACCCGGAGGCTCCCGGTCAGCGAAGCCGGAAGAGGAGGCCGGCAGAGCAGGACCAACGTACCTCCGGCCAGGCCCGACTTGCACTCCCAAGACTGGCCCACACGACAGCCCGCCGGGGCGAGCCGGGAGAGACCCGGGAGAGACCAGGAAAAGACTCCGGAGCACTCACCGCCTCCGCCGCGCCCCCGCCTCTTCCTGTCCCGGCCGGGCTCCCTCTCCGTGTTTTCCTTCGGCCCTACTTCCGGCGCCCAACACTAGCTCATTGTGCGCTATTGGGAGCCGGCGGTGCCCCCGCCCTGCGCTCCGCAGCGCACGCCGGAAACGCGCGCCGCGCCCGGAGGGCCGCACAAACCTCCCCCGCCTGAGTCCCCGCCCACTTCCCCACCCCCTGCTGTCGCTCCGCCCCCCGCCTACCTTCGCCTACCTTCGCCTGACAGCCCGTGGCCCCGGCCCGGCCGTCGCCCCGCCCCTCGCCGCGCTGCCCCACCCCAGGTGGGCTTCAGGTCAGGCGGGCAGACTGGGCTCTTCCTAGGTGTGCCTCGCCTGCTCAAGGGAAACTGAGGCAGACTCCCTGTAGATTCCCGATAATTCTGAGTGAGTTCGCGATTCTGTGAGGTCTTGGTTGCAGACCTTGTGGAAAGGCTACCCACGGTCCACCCAAGTACCCGTGTGGCCAAGGGAAGTGTCCCCTTATTCCTTATATTATGTAAAGTGTTACTTTTTTTTGAGGGGGAGGTGTAGTCTAGGCTGGCCTTGAGATCTCAGTAATCCTCCTGCCTCAGCCTCCTCGGTGCTGGCATTGCGGCGTGCACCACCATGCCCGGTGTTTGCATTCACTTTCTATCCTGTTGTAGCATTAGACCTTTGTAAGAGTACTAACATACCTTAATGAAACATGAGAACCAGTCAGGCGTGGTGGTGCATGCCTGTAATCCCAGCACTGGGAAGCTGAAACAGTTCAAGGCCAGTAATAGGGAGCCCTTGTCTACATAAATAAATAAATAGGAATATTGGGGAAAATAGGACACTTTTTATACGTCTGCTTTTCTAGAGTGTGCAGATTTAAGTCTGTGACGTTCTTTGGGGCAACCATCTTAAAATGAGATACATTTTAAGTACTAGCTAATGCCATGAACTGTTTTAAGAGCTTTACAACTAAAAGGAAAGTTATGTTACTTTAAAAAATTTTCCTGGTAAGTTCCCCTTCGTGATTTTTATGTTCTTGTGAGGAAAGAAAAATAAAACATGTTTAAATCTGATTTTTTTAAAAAAACACTTAGTTTAAAACCATCTTCAACCTTTAAGAAAATGGCACTCCTAACAAAAACATCAGTTTTAGATTATAGGTTTTTTGTTTTGTTTCAGTTTGGTTTGGTTTGATTTGGTCTTTGGAGCTATGGATTGAACCCAGGGCCTTGTACTGTGTATGGTAAACATGTGCTCTGCCACTGAGCTATAGCCCAGGATTAAGCAATTCTAATGTAGAAAACTGCAAAGGAGTTAGAAAACTGCAAAATTGTTTTAGGCAAAGGTGGAATTAGAGATATGAGCTTGACATTTTAGTCTTAGGTTATTCTTTTGATTTTTAGGTCTAAAGGCTACTAATAACTTTATATAATATGCTAATTACTGTGTACTGTATGTAGTCAGTGTGTACTCTGTTTTAGGAAGAAACCTATTGCAAAGATATAAGGTAGTATTCACCTGAAACTTAAAAATGAAAAGAAATTTGTCCTGATGCATGTTAAAAAGAAATCTATGATTGGAAGCTTTGTGTTGACTTTTGACAAAGGTGGTAACTTCAGACAACATTATGATCTAATAAAGTTTATTTTTTAAAAATGAAAAAATAAATGAAATCTATGTAGGGCTGGGGATTTAGCTCAGTGGTGCTGCTCCCTGCCTCTGCAAGCACAAGGTCCCAAGTTTAATCCCCAAAAAAAAAAAAAAAAAAAAAATCTATGTAGTTTAAAACTCAGAATGAAATAGAAAACTGAAGCTGGAGATTTAGCTCAGTGGTGCTGCCGCGTGCCTCGCAAATGCAAGGTCCTGAGTTGGATCCCCAGTACTCCAAAAAAAAAAAAAGAAAAAGAAAACTGAAAATTCTGTTTCTTCATTGCACTAAGTAACCGCTTACATTAGCACGTTTATAGAATGAATCATTTCTAAAATGTTCATATTTTAAAATGTCAACTGCCATCTGTATGGAGAGACAACATAAAAATAACCGAACAACTGAATGTGAAAAAAAAAAGAGCTTTACAAATGTTAACGCTGTTAATCCTCACAACTCCAGGAAGGAGATGCTGCTTTACCCATTTTGAAGATGAGGGAAACAGCACTGAAGGGCCAAGTTAATAGCACGGCTGGAATTCAAACCCTGACCATCAGGAAAAGTCTATTCTTAACTAGGTGGCTATACCAGAGTGATTCGAAACACACACCTACAACTTTGCTGTAATTTTTTATTTAAATGTTTTGGTGTTGCAGGTGGGTGAGAATCAGACTACCTGTGTGACAGGCATGCAGTGGCCCACTGTCGACTGCAGAGGAGTGTGGTGGTGATTCACAGTCATGTTTGTGCCGGACTGCAGCTGCATCACCACACCCAGTGACTAAGTCCTGTACGGAAGACCTGGTTTAGGTAAGCCAGCCTTGGCTTCCTGGAGTTTAGAGGAGTAGCAAAGCATACATCATTGTAAGGATTTAATACACTTTTTATTTCCATTTTTGACATGTTTTCCAAAGTCTTAACTTCTCATATTCTAAATTAGTTTTGAAGATTCATCTTGAGGCTATAGTACTAGTTAAAAGGTACTGACAGTGATATATACCTCTGTCCCTGTCATGCTTAATGGAAATTTAAATTGGCTGTTTAAATCCTTACAATTCAGTTGAAAAGTTGGATTTCAATTTTCTTTGGATCTCATTTCTCAGAATGTTTGTGGAGATTGGTCCTTGAAGCACACATATTTCCACAAGTTAGAGCATAGTTGTGGAGCCGGAAGTTGCTGTCTGGTTTGGAGACACCTGTACCATTATACCTTTTTCTGAAGACATTAACACTACTCCTTTTTACCATGTGTCTTCTATTTTGAAAAGAAAATTTAATATTGTAATTTATCTTGACAAGTCAACCTTTAGCAAATTGTAGGGCCCTGGCACCAGAAGTGCAGGGATTATAGTCATAACTTCATCCGTTTTTTTCCCAATGGCTCTTCCTTTAAATATATCCAGGAAAGAATAAACATAAATACTGTATGAACAGTCCATAACTTCCGATCCCCTCTACCTCTCTGCTGCTTGCCTGCTGGTGCTATGGCTCAGCTGGATTAATAGCTCCACCTTTGTCCTCCTCCAGTCTGGAGGGGCTTTTTTTGTTTGTTTTATTTTTGCTTTTGTTTTTTGTAGTACTGGAAGCTGAACCCAGCACTACATCCCCAGCCCTTTTTTATTTTGAGACAGAGTCTCACTCAATTGCTAAATTGGCCAGGCCAGGCTCAACCTTGGGGTCCTTTACCTTACTCTGGGGAGAGTGCTGGGATTTCAGGTGTGCACCAGCACACCTGGCTGGTTCTCAGCTTTTATTAAGGTGTGCAAATATTGTTGCAAAGGTCGAATGCTACAATAGGATCCAAAATGAACTCAAACACTGGGTGTGTTGCTGCACCCCTATAATCTGCACACTTTGGGAGGCCCAGACCAGAGGACTGCAAGTTCAAGCCCAACCTGGGAAGTTTAGCAACTTAATGAGACCCTGTCTCAAAATAGAAAATAAAAAATGGGCTGGAGATGCTGCTCAATGTAAAGGGCCTGTGTTAAATTCAAACATAAAACCAAACAAAAAAACCAAAACCAACCAACCAAAAAAACTCCAGAAACCTTAAAACCAACAAAAAACCAAAACATAAAACCATACAAAAAAACCAATCAAAAAACCAAAACCAACCAACCAAAAAAAACCCCCCAGAAACCTTAAAACAATCTATCCCTCTCCCTCTTTGCACAGAGTTTTCAACATTCTTGTAATGGTTTAAATTTTTTAAAAATTCTCTGATAACTGAGAATACTTATTGAGTCAGTTAGGCTGGGTACAGCTTTGGGTTTGAAGTAAAGCTTGATTTAAACTGATTTAAGCAGTAAGGGCATTTATTGGTTTACAGAATAGCATCCAGGCAGGTTTCCATGCTGTCTTTATCTGCCGGCTGTGCCTTTCTGTTTGTGTGGCCTTCATCTTCACAGTGGTGTGGTGGCCATACTTCCCAACTTTGAATACCCTCAGCAAGGCTGGAGGGAGAGAAAGTGAGCTTCAGAAGTCAGGAAGAACATTTTTTCCCCAGTACCATGGGTTGAACCAGGGCTTTCATATTGAACTACATCCCCATCCCTTTTTTAATTTTATTTTTTGTTTTGAGACAGGATCTTGCTAAGTCACTAAATTGCTAAGTCACTAAATTTATCAGCTTAAACTTGCTGTCCCCCTGCCTCAGATTTCCAGAGTGCTGGGAATACAGGCATGCACGACCACCTCTGGCTCAGGAAGAACTTTTCAAGAAACCTTGCAAACTTCATTTTCATCTTTTCTTCCCACTTCAGTACTGTGACTCCAACTCAGGGCCTTGCATTTTAATATCTTTAGATGGGTTAAAAGCTTCTTAAATCAGTGTGAGGTTTCTCTCTGCCAGGACTATTGTCTTTTGGGGTTGGGCAGTTCTTTGTTGTACGAGATCCTATGCATGGAAGGATGTTTAGCAGTAGCCATGGGCTCTATCCAGTAGAGTCCCCCACTGCCAGCTATGACAAAAATATCCCCAGGCATTGCCAAATACTCCTAGGGGCCAAACAAACCCCAATTGAGAACCACTATCTTAGACCAGTGGGCCTACCTTGGAGCTAGTGGATGGGATTAGCTTTGTAGGGATGGAAAAGGAATGGTCCCTTTCCTATCCATAAAGGATCATGGCCAATATCCTTATAACAAAGCTAGGTAAACAAGAGAAAACCATAGTACTTATACATGGGAACCATTCAAAATATGGAGACTCAAAGAAAGCACCAGGTGGCTGAAACTTAAATATCCTTTTCACAGAGAAGTGTCTGTGAGTTAGGGAGTAGTGGCAGGGTATGGGAGATTAGAGACCAACCTTGTTGTGAACAAAGGTGTCTTGTTGTGCAGATAAAGTCTCCACATAATCTCTCAGAGCTGCCCTCAGAAGAGGAGATCAAAAGACTGTCTGGGTATAATGATAACTTTTGGTCATCTCTCTTTTCAGATGGTTAATCTTTCCTGGTTATTTGATGGTATCCTTATTCCCATGGAGAGAGTTTAAGACAATTCCTCCTCCTCCTCTCCTACCATTTTTTTGTGGTGCTATGGGTTGAACTCAAGGCCTTGAGCATGGTAAGCACCTACTCTCCCACTGAGCTATCCCTCAGCCCCAACACTTGTATTTAAGGGGAAGTTAGAGAAATCTGAGTTCTGAGACTGTTTCTTCAAATCAACAGGTTGAGGCACCACACTTTGGGTTGTCATTTTCAGGGTCCTAGCAACTTGGTTTGGGGCACTTGTTTGGCACAGAGGATAAGATACTGAACATTTCCTATTAGGAGGAGATGGTGAGAATAGTGTTATTGGTTTAGATCCAAAGTGCTCCCCACAAGTCTCATGTTCAGAGCTGGGGCTTTCAGAAGGTGATTGGATTTCGAGGGCTTTGACTTCCTTGGTGGGCCCATTCATTGATAAATCGTAATTCGATGCCATCATTGGGAGGTGATGGAAACAGGATGGGGTTCAGTGGCAGGGTCCTGGGGGCATGACCTTGGGGATGCTATCTGGTCCCCAACCCTTTTCCTGTCTGGCTCTTTCCCTTTTTCTCTGCTTCCTGGCTGGCAAGAGATGAGCACTGTCTCTCTGCCACACCCTCTCCCATGATGTTTCTGCCTCCCTGTGGTCCTAAAGCAGTTCAGCTGGCTGCCCTTAGACCAAAGATGAAACCCTGAGCCCAAACAAATATTTTCTCCTTCAAGTCAATGTGTGGTCACAGCAGTGAAAAGCTGACCAGCAAAGTGGATAGAGCCACAAGGTTCATCACAATTTCTTTATCACGCACCTCTCCAGTCTCTGGGACACATTGCAGAACTGTCCTGTCAGTTACCCATGTTACTGGGTAGCAGGCAAATTGATGATATGTTTTGAATTTTGATGGTTTTGGCAGAGATCTTCTTTTCAGATATTGGCCTTTACAGAATAACTGAGGAGGTGGGTGTGGTGGCTCATGCTTGTAATCCAGAAACCCCTAAACCGAGGGAGGAGGATCCAGAATTTGAGCGCAGCCTGGGTCACATAATGAGTTCAGGACTAGGCTGGACTTTGTAGTGAGACCCAGTCTCAAAAGAAGGAAAGCCAGCCAACCAGCCACCCTGGCATGGTGGCACCTTCCTGTAATCCCTGTACTCTAAGCATGTTCCAACCCAGCCTGGGAATTTTAGAGACTGTAGTGAGACCTTGTCTCAAAATAAAAAAGCACTGGGGATATAGCTTAATAAAAGGGCCCTGGATTTAATCCCAAGGACCATAGAAACAAACTCAAAACAGTGAAGAATATTAGGGCAAACCTGTACTTCTGCTGTTCCATGGTGGGAGAGGACAGAGTGATGTGATGGGAGAGAGAGAGAGCATTCCCAGAGTTCCTACTTAAGTCAGGGCCAAGGGCTTCCCCCAGGTCAGGCTTAGACCAGACATTTCTTACTTCTGTGGCTTAAGGGATATCAAAAAGGCTAGCAGACTCTCCAGATTCTGCCTGCAAAAACGTTTCTTAGTTTTAATTACTCCAAGACTTTATGTTTACAATCTGACATGTGTGTGTACACAAGCAAAAAAACTGTATTTGTAGAACACGTTTTCAAATCTTAGGAACATCAGTGACATAGAGTGCTTCAATTATTAAAACATTGTTCTAGAATTAGCTGGCGTTTTTTATGGTTATTGGGCAAATGCTGAATGCCTGCTCTGTGAGGTAGACTGACCTTATCCTATTGCTCATAGTGTTGAAAATCTGGTGAAGGCAACAGAAATCCTGATGAAATAAATTCAACATTTATGATGTTACTCATAGGGCTGGGGCATGCTTCAGTGGGAGTATTGCATTCTATCTTTTTTTCACTGGCTAGCATGGTTCTTTGCTTTGGTAATAACAGAAATTAAAAGTAAAGCAACAGTATGATTTTATACACAAAACCTTTCATTGAAAAATAGGAGAGAAGGGAGAAAGGACTTTAGGCTGAGTCATGGCTGGAGGGAGCAGGCTCTGATGAGGAGGCTCAGAGTGGCCCACCTGCAAAGTAGCACTGATGGTCGTCTCAGTCTCGGCTTTGCAGCCCTGGAGGGACCCTCATGGCTTGGGGAGTGGCTCAGTGTCCGTGAAATCCTTCTCTCTCCTTGTGGGGGTTTCAGTCATGCAAGGCTTTGCTTTTCCTGGAGTCCAGGTGATTACAGATTTAGAGCAATGACTGGAGACTTTAAAACATCCCTCCAGGGAGGAGGCCTGCTAACGGGACTTTTAAAGGTTGACAATGAAGAGCCTGTGGACTCCTGATAATTACATTAGTTATTCTTATCTTGTTGTCCTCCATCTTGAAAGGGGG